ACTTTCTGGATAGATGAGACTTCTTTTTATAAGATTGAGACCTCCTTTTATGAGACAATTTAGACTTCCTTTTGTAAAAGAATATGAAACATATCGTTTTTATCTAGTCTTTACAAGCTAGCACTTGTTGCAACTGCCTGACCTTGTCTTCGTGTTCCGCATTTTACTTATGTCCGTCTAGGCAGTCGGAGAAAATAATAATTACCTTCCCCTACGAACCATAAAATATTATTTTACGACCTGAGTGGAGTCATTCTTCCTTTTTAGAGAACATATTTTTATTTGCTGGTCTGTGAAAAATTCGCTGAAACACATTTTCGAAAATAATTTTTTCGAGTTGGAGCTTTCTACTAAGAAAAAATAACACATAATACGATATTGATAAATATTTCCGTAAATAAAAATAAAATATTGTTATTAGACCAGAATAAAGAAATACTCGAAATGTAGATATGTCCATTAATAAATTCCAGGATTTAAATGATGAGGAAATTCAATACTGAAAATAATAAGAAACTTTTTTATGCTGAAAATTATTGATTCCTCAAATTTTGTATAATGCACATTATTAGCATTATTAGATAAAATAAATGAATGTTTCATTTTTTTAGAGAAAACATGGAAACATATTTTAAAGGAAAGAAAACTCGAAACAACAAATCATTCAAGTAAACACAATTAAAATTACTCGAATTTAGTTAATACAAGGCCCGAAAAGTTAAAGATAAGTTTGAAACGCAAAACCTCATCACTAAAATCACTCCGTCAGTCCATAAGAGAAATCGCGAAACTTACAATTCAGTCTCCTAAACTTTCACAAAACATGCTAATAAACTAGACCTTGAAGCAAGCGAAGGTAAATTCCTGCTGACCTCTGCAAGAGTGTTCAAGTTTTGGAGGGAAGTGGTATGTGGTTTCACAACGCTACTTTCGTGCATTGCGACATTCCCCAACGCCCAGGTGCCCGCGCGGAGGACTTCAACGCGCGTGGAGATTCTCTTCCTGGCGAGCGAGAGGGAAGAGCCGAGAGCGTTTGGGGATGACGTCATGCCAACGCAATGGAGCGGAAAGAGCGCGTGGCGATAAACTTCAATTGCAGGTAAACAAAAGAAAAAAGCGGTTTCAAATAATACTGCAGTATGCTGACTTTTGGCGGATGAAGAAGGGATAGTTTGGCCGGTCCGGATGGCCGAGATCATGAAGGCAGTAGTGCCGTAGCGATCGTGGACCGATGGATCGCGGATTCGAGTCCCGCCTCGGCCATGGTTGTATTTGTGTCCGTCCCTTCACCCCCTATCATTATCATATCTTGTCATCCTCACAGTTACCATACCGTTACACGCAATAGTGGTCGCTAATGACCTAGTAGTTAATGCGACCTTAAACAACAACAACAACAACGGCGAAAAGGATTCATTTCATTATCCTGAACCACAATTACTTTTATTGGTATTTGTGAGGATGCAGTACAGTACTTTCAGCACAGTAATTTCAAAAAATGCAAATAAAAAATATGAATTGATATTTTATATTTTGTCGTCAGTAAATATGTCGTGAGTGAAAACATAATATTTCGTGGAGTTATGTAGTAGGTATTTCATAAATGAACACTGAGTTATTACACATGATGAGGGATTTGTGGGATACCTCTATGAGTAATTTCTTCCTGACTGTCCAACTATGTGACACTTCCTCTGAAAAGATTTAGAAGAGTCGGTAATTAAAAAATCTTGTGAACTTTTAGCAGGTCGGGATTACCCGCCTCTACTGTGTATTTAGTGGTCACAAATCACGCCCAGTTCTAGGAAACTCTTTGACTTACCGATATACACAAATGAATGCTTTCTTTCCTAGGTATATATATATATATATATATATATATATATATATATATATATATATATTCGGTACATTTTTTAAATAAAATAATTAAGACATTTCCAGCGATTTACTCGGTTAGTTGAGTTCTACAAATACATGGTAGTATATCATAATCGTTTTACTTATAAGAGCAACCGATCTTTATGAAATAATCTGTTCTGTGAATGATTCGACTTTTATAATCCTTTAGCTGGTGCTGAAAATAGACCACCATCGATATATAAAATTACGAGGGTTATTTTAATACAAGTTGAAAAAGAAAACAAGTACACATAAAAGTGTTTATAATCTGAAATAAGATACAATTATGTTATTCTATATACTTATTTCCTTTCAAGCGCATGAATTTTAAATAGTTTTGAAAAAAATACTTTTGTTTTGGAAACTGTCTTTACTTAAGAAAAATACCCTTGAAGAATTTCGAAACTAAGTTGCACACGGCACAACCTTGCAAACCACTGTAACAGCTGCAGAGATATTACGCCTGTCCTCTGGCTGCGTGATTATTTAAGCGCGTCAAAAATCCTTGTAGCCACGCGAGCGTCTCAAACTGCAACATCTGTTCCATTTGGTAGTTCGTAAAAATGCTCAATAATATAGCTATTTGGAAGTATTAAAAATAAAATTAATCGGCTTGAGGCTCGAAATTTTTAATATTATGACTGTGGAGGATGATTAGTTTCGTTTGTTCAAGATATCATGAATTTGATATCAAAATCTCCGATGGTTGGTAAATGTTTGATGGTTAAAGGGACCTAGTGTGTATGTATGATGGAGAACAAAAGCGCGCCGAACCGAGATAAAAGCTAAACACTGAAGGTACAGTAGTTTTTTCAGTTTATGAAGCAAGATTTGGTCTGTATTGGGCGTATATTTATGGCGAAAATAAAAAATGAACTCAGGATTAGGTATAGAAAGCGGTGTTTTACGAAAAATATGACAAATGGGTGTGAATGTTAATTTCATAATTTTTAAACAACAGTAGGAAGGAGAGTAGAGAAGACAAAGTACGTGTGTATCTCAGATGACCTAATCAAAAACACACCTTAGCTCGGAGTGGGGGTCCATATTACAATATTACTATGCCTGGTAGCCTACCACATACTTTTGGATTGTGACGAGTGAAGACTTCAAAAGGGACAACATCTGAATCTATTGGACTACGATGCATTAGTATTTGAATAGTTCGTGAATCTCATGAAGAAACGCGAGTTTCTAGAGAAATGTTTGAACACACAATTTCGTAAATATCCAGTACGCACATTTTATTAAAATAAAGTATGAATATTCGATTGAAACCAAACATTTAAATTTAGACATTCATTCCAAAAATGAATATCAGGGCTCAAAATTCACACCTAAAACACGCTGTTTATACAATCGAGACCCGTAAATATTTTATAATAAACTACAGTAATGTTTCCACTTCATGGTTTTAGCATTAGGTGATGATTTGAGCATTTTTTGCATTTCTGCGGCACGTTCACAATCGTAAAGTCAATGATGTAAATTTCATGTTTAAAGTTGAATATTTTAGTAAATAATATCAATTATTATTGAGTGTAATGACTTTAAATCATCAGAAAAAAACAATAGTTTGTCTACTTCTTTTCACTATTCAATACCAAAATGTATAAGCGTAGGAGACATGTGGCACATGGGATTTCCTCCTCTATTCTCTCTATAAATTTGGCGGTAAAAAGTTCAAACGAAAATCAGCATACGATAACAAATCAACACACGAACGTCAAAACTTTTTTTCGATTAAGCAACTAACAACCTAATCGACTTTTTCTTTTAAAACCTACACTGTTCCTACGGACGCTAGATATGGTTCAACAAAAGATACAAACGAACCTGACCCATAGGAAAACATTATTATTGTTAAAACTACTTCCATAAAACTTCTAGAAAATAGTCATGTTGTGCTGCGTTTGATTGTTGACGAAGAGAGTATAAATATTACAATTACATGTGATAAAAAATATGATAATTATTTAATTCACTTCAGCTATCTAAAATGAAACTTTACTAAATTGAGATTAGTTTTGAAACAAACATTATTAGAACATAAGTGCCCAATAATCCATCATCTCTTAAAATCAGCTTGTCTTCGTAGGATGAACAACAAAATGTAATACATTTGAACGAAAATTATTGTACTGGATTGGAATTTTGACAAAGTGGATAGGTCGTTGGATGATCGCAACATCTCGTTACAGAACTTGATTGGTTATCCAATATCGTATTGTAATGAGAAATCTTACGAAAGTTATGAGACAAATAACTATTACACAACCATTACAAATCATATTGTGGCACTACTGGTTCATTTAATAAATGAAGCGTTGAGAATGACGTACGCCGGTATTTAGTTTTGTTCCATTTGTTGACAAACTGCGATATCTTTTGTTGACAAAACTGTCTAGGGGCTTCAGTTAGTATTTGGGAGAAGTTTAAAGAGGGGATTTTGCTCTTCTACAAGATTTCATTTTTAGACAGCTACGGGTAAAAGCAGTTCTTTAAGAGTATGCAAAGGGTGCGCTGAAGTTTCAATTTTTAGCACTAGCGCTAAAAGTGAGACATTTCTCAAGTGATCATATAAATCAGTGAATACAATAATAGAAAGAAACTACTTTTGTCTGTCCACATTAACAAACACTGACCTTAATATACTATTAAATGATTTGTACAATTCAATTAAGTAAAACAAAATGAAAATTAGTAAAAGTGCAAGGCTGTCAAAACAATGGTGGTAAAAAACTAACTTGTTACCCTAAAAAAATCTTTTTTTTTGCATGGTTTTAAAATACATTTCCCTAATCATGGCCATATGAAATTCATTTTTACCTTGATTCTTCTAATACAAGTTTACAAAACCTCTTGTATTATATTTTTACGCAGTTGAACAAAAAATTGTTGTTTACATTTCGTGTGTGAAATCCCGTTATTTTTATGGCCTCGATCGAGAATTTTTTACCGAGGCCGCAGGTCGAGGCAAAAAAATCTCCATCTCGACCGTGAGAGAAACGGAAACTTTACGCACTTAATATGCAAATCACTATTTGCGTAGCTCTGGTATTTGCCCTCGGCGCTGGCCGGGCGCGCGGCGCGCTCACCATGGCGAAGTCGTTGACGTGCGCCTGCGTCTCGTGCGTGGGGCCCGCGTCGGCCAGCGGCAGCACGGCCGTCTCGGCGCCCTTGCACAGCAACACGACGTTGCCCGCCTCGTCCTCCACCACCACCGACATGCGCTTCCGGTCCGACGAGAACTCCAGCACGTCCAGCTTCCGGTAGCGCCGCACCTCGCCCTTCACCTGCGCACACACGCACACACACACACTGGCTTCACGCTTGCCCCCAGCCTCGAAACAATGTATTTCTCTCCTTGCCGAATTGAACACTGAAAGTTATTTATAATGTAGGGAGAAATGATTCTGAATTGAGGGAGGAGTATTGTTTTTTTGCTTGTAAAGATGAGCCGCGTTGCATCAACTGCCTCAGACCCCTGATATTCTCTGCCTCCCCACCCTTGATTCACGCGCGCAGCTCTTTCCTCTCCCGAGGGAATCTAGGGTTATATTCGATTCGGAATGCATGATAAATCATATCGACACCCCATGTGAGAAAATGTTTGATGCAATTTTATGTTTATTTGGCACCTTATCTCGGATTTTATGACGTACATGCGGTTGCAAATTTCCTTGCCTTCAGCTCAACAAATACACGTTATACCTAAATATTAAAAAAGACTTTGGTTTTTGTCCTTCGAAAAAAGCAGTAGTCAATTTGTACATAGAGTTACGACTGGAAAATATGGTAAAAGTAAGAGATGACTTTAAACAGACATGGTAATGGGGATTGAATCGAGAGGTTATCATTCAATTCAAGAGAATCGTTCCGGTGTAAAGACATGTTCCTTTTTCGGCAAGGCAAGAAGCCTTTTTCTGGAGATTTTTGGGAGCTTACCAACAACAATAATAATAATAATAATAATAATAATAATAATAAAACAAAAGAAACGAAGCAATTTTAAATTATATACAGTCTCAAGATTGAACTTAAACGAAACATTTGAAATTATGTTCTTCTCAAAACATTCTTGGGTAAGTAATTCCTGAAACGTCAATCGATTCTTCTACTTTACGTCGAATGAGCTTCTGTACAAAGACATTTTATAATATCAGCAAGACAGTTCAGAAAAATGATTAGCGCCTCCTTGAAATATATTAATTTTATTGAACGTATCAATGTGTTTTTAACGTCTCGTAGCCTCTTCCTGCTTATTAACTGCAAACCATATTGTCCAAGTCATCAACCTAAACGCTTCCTTGTCTTTATCAAAATGTTAATATATTGTACGTTGCGATGAATATTGAAATTAATTGAATTATCAAAATCACCGAATATGGGCACAGAACGTGCCCAAACGCACAACACCAGCAAAAAGACAGCATGTGCGATTGGGTGAGTTTTACTGAACAAAGCATGCATTAAATGAAGACATTTTTCAATGAACGAACTCAATGGAATCACTCAGGTTAGAGTGCAAGTGTCTTCATGACCGAGCATAAGAAGGAAGACGTTGCACGTATGACTGCATGAATGTAATTAACTTGAAGAATGCCTCTCCTAAACAAGAGTGGCAGCTGCGTGGGTACTGACCTCGAGTTGGGTGGAAGTCAAGGCAAAACCTGAGAGGCACTTAAATGGAATATGTATTCGTAGAGCACAGGTACTTCAATGTAAACGCACATGGGTGAAACATACATTGTTGCTGATGCGCAAGAATATAGGCAACTCAAAAATTTTCATTATGCAGGGAAATAGTTTCATCCTGAACGTCTTTGTTTATTTCGCGGTAAAATACTTTGTTTTTAATGCACCTCTCTGCGGTTGCAGTGCGTGATGTGGCGTTGATGTTTGAGTGGTTTGAGTGATTGAGGTTTGAGTGTTGAGGGGTTGAGTGGTTGAGTGTTTGTTAGGTGGGTATGAAGTGGGTTGAGGTGGGTCGAGGTGCGCTCGCAGGTGTCGAGTGGGTCGAGTGATAGAGGTGGGTAGAGGTGGTAGAGGTGGTTGAGGTGCGTGAGGTGTTGAGTCGGTTGAGGTGGTAGATGTAGGTTGATTGTTGATGTGGGTTGAGGTGGTGAGGTGGTTTGGAGTGGTGAGGTGGGTTGGAAGGCATCGCCCTGGTGCAGGCGCACCTGCACGGAGGCGAAGTCGCCCTCCTCGCCGAGGAAGACGACGCCGACGCGCGCCGCGGCCTCCGTCAGCGCCTTCTCGTCGGGGCTGGACGCCTGGTACGTGAGGCAGTCGGCGGCAGGCGCGTTGTTGTTGGGCGGCGCTGCGTCCATCTGCACCGTGTGGCACAGCGCCAGCGCCACGAAGAACTCCTCCAGCTCCCCCTGCGCGCACACACGCACACACATACACACACATGAAGCAGTGGCCAACTCGTCCCTACAAATGCAAATGACCCGAATTCTTCAAAACTAGGGAAAATTAACGGCATTATATTTGTATTCCTTTCACAATATCGTTCATGTATTCTCAAATGATTAGATGAATGTTTGTGATCAAGGGAGCCCAAGCAAGGAGGGAAGATGGTTAACTATCATTTTTTTAAAACAAAATTGAAGTTTAAAGAAGACTTCAATAAGAAAAATTATCTTAATAAATTCCAACTCCCACAGTCATCTTTAACTTAATATAATTGTGTATTGCCAATCAAATAGTTTCAATTACTTTAATGCCTTCCAAACTAAAAAGGCAATAAATTAATAGCAATAATGTACATTCAGTCCATACATTTTCTAGGCCAGTGTGGTAAACCTAAACCGAATTTTACGAACAGAAGTAATAAAATGTATGTATGTACTTGGCGCGACAGCCCGTGAACGGGCTGAGGCCTACCGGCGATGTCCCTTCCTCGCGGCCATGGGTTAAGGGGGTATGTGTGGTTAGTACGTACACATGTTCGCGCCGTATTCCGGTCTTCTCAACCTGGGAAGTGAATTTTCCCATCGTCACACAGCAACATATACTGGGACATTGCAATATTGCCTCACAGAGAATCGAACCCGGGACCGCGTAATGGAAAGCGAGCACGCTGACCAACAGCTAGCCACGAGGACAATAATATAATAGCTCGATGAACTATTCACACAGTCTTGTAGCAGGTACAGAATACAGATAGTTTCTCTCTAAAATTCGTTATGACCACGCGGCTAAACCTCTAAGAGTTCTGGAAAGAGATAATACTTTCGGATAAGAGCAAGTTATGTTTGTTTGTTTGTTTGTTTGTTTGGACGCTCCGCCTCGGATTCGGCGCCTTCCTCGTATAAAATATTATCTCGACCGTGAAGCATGGAGAAGGCAGCATGGTGGATTGGGGATGAACAGGATACTCTAGCGTGAGTAGCCTTGCAGTTGTTGAAGAAAATATGAATGCAGATTTGTACTTCTTTATGTTGCGAATCCATTTGAATAAAAGTGCTGTAAAATAAGAGATGGGAGACACTTTCATTTCCAGATCAAGATTTGAAGTGTAAGGCATGCAAAATAAACGGATAGTTTCTTTACACTTCTCCCAAGATGTTACCTTCTTAATAACCCGACATCAATCCCAAATCCCTTTTTTCAACAATTTCAAGAAGAATGGAGCAATATTTCGTTGTCTGTAACCAGCAAGTTGGTGGAATCCATGTCTAGGCAACTTCAAGCCATCATAGAAGTAAAGGGACTTCACACTAAGTATTAGCGAGAATTAATAATGTAGAACGTAGCATATATTGCAATGTACGAATGCTTTTGATTCGTTTGCATTCGGGAGTTTCCATTTTTCTGTGCCCCCAGCAGAAGGTGGCGTTATTTAGTGGTACTTTCTTATAGCTCTGCAATTCCATATTTGCCTATATTATAATTATATATACAATTTATAACAAATAAATGGATTTACATAAAAATATGGCGTACTACTTTTTTATGCTTTAAAGTTCCACGAATTTAACGTATAATTTTAGGATTAGGAAATAAAGAGAATATAAACGCAAGCGTGGTATGTACGTTAGAAGTGCCGTAACACGACGTGGCATGGACTCGACTAATGTCTGAAGTAGTGCTGGAGATAATAGACACTATGAATGCTGCAGGGCGTCCATAAACGTGAAAGAGTACGAGGGGTTGGAGATATCTTCTGAACAGCATATTTAAAGATATTACAGATATGCTCAATATGCTCATGTCTGGGGATTTTGGTGGCCAGTGGAAGTGTTTATATTCAGAAGAGTATTTCTGGAGCCACTCTTTAGCAATTCTGGACGTGTGGACTGTTACATTGTCCTGCTGGAATTGCCCAAGTCCTTCCGGATGTACAATGGACATGAATGGGTGCAAGTGATCAAACAGGATGCTGTTTGATCACTACGTACGTGTCACCTGCCAGAGTCGCATCTAGGCGTATCTGGGATCCCACATCATTCCAACTGCACACGCTCCACACCATCAAAGAGCCTCCACCATCTTTAAAAGTTCCCTGTTGGCATGCTGGATCCATGGGTTCATGAGTTTGTTGCCATACTCGTACTCGTCAATTCACTCGAAACAATGTGAAACGAGACACATCAGACCAGGCAACGTATTTTCGGCCATCAACAGTCCAATGTCGGTGTTGAAAGGACTAGGCGAGGCGTAAAGCTTTGTATCGAAGGATACACGAGTGGGCTCCGAAATTCCATATCGATAATGATTCGTTGAATGGTTCGCACGCTGACATTTGTTGATGGTCCGGCATTGAAATCTGCAGCAATTTTCGGAAGAGTTGCACTTCTGTCACGTGTAATGATTCTTCTCAGCCGTCGCCAGTCCCATTCTTGCACGATCTTTTTGCGGCTGCAGCGATGCTGGAGGTTTGATCTTTTACCGCATTCCCGATATTCACGATACACTCGTGAATTGATCGTACGGGAAATCCCAAATTTCATCGCTATCTCGGAGATGCCATGCCTCATCTTTCTTGCGCCGAATATAACACCACGTTCAAAGTCACTTAAATCGCGATAACCGATAGCAGCAGTAACCGATCTAACAACTGTGCCAGACTCTGGTTGTCTTATACAGTCGTTGCCGACCGAAACGCAGTATTCTGATTGGTTCCAGCTCTCTATTTCAATACACATGGCTGAACCAGTTTTTTTTGTAAAAACTAATACATTGTGTAATGTACAGTTGATTTGTTTTGTTTGTTGTTAACGGACGGAGGGTTGTTAACAACGATAAGGGACGCCGGGCATTGTGACTGATGTGAGTTTGTGATATAACATCACAGTATTATGAAACTAATACAAAGTTTACAAACGCAAAGCGACGCATGGTAGCACTGACCGAGAGCGCGGCGAGGGGCTGGCCGCGCGTCACGTCCATGTCGGCGCCCAGCCGCGTCAGCACGCCGTCCTGCTCCGCGTACACCACGCCGCCCACCGAGCAGCGCCGGAACTGCATGTCGTTCTCCGTGAGCGTGCCCGTCTTGTCGGTGAACAGCACCTCCACCTGGCCCAGCTCCTCGTTCAGGTCGGACGAGTTGCACACGGCCGACAGCTCTGTGTTGGGGTCGTACAGCAGCGCGTCCCACTCGAAGAACAGCGTGCCCAGGAACTTCTGCATCTCTGCCGGGGACGTTACACACAGATAAGAAGAAGAAGAGGTGAAAGAAGAAGACAGACAGGAGGAAGAGAGAGCAGTAAGAGAAAGAGTAGTGAAGAGAAGGAAGAAGGGGGCCGCTTTGAAGTTTGCTGCTGGCAACATAACAGTAGCTTCTAGGCTGTCCGGAGTGACGCCAGCCGTCGTGGGCAAGATTGCGACGTTTCTTCCTTGTCATGTCGCCAGCTTTCCAGGGTAGTGACGACTTCCTCACTACCTGAAGAAGCTTGCGACATGAACAGGCGAAAACGTCGGCCTATTACTGCCAACGACGCGGCGTCACCTGGACCGCCTGGGAAGTATTTAGTATGGAACTCGAGCCGCCCGAAAGCCTACGTGTACAACATAATAGTTAGGTTTCGTTCACGCCCTCTTTTTGTCAGTGCGTTCGTTTACAGGTAGCTCATTCGCAAAGCTTTTCTTTTCTATCCCTCGCAAAACCATCGCGCTGCCGGACGTTCATTTGTTTCCCGGCCAGTCATAGTGATCCCTTCTTAGAGTAAATACTCTATAAGGCACGTCTTCAATAAACAGCACATAACGAAGCTTACGGCGTACTTGTAGATATCAGCATTTAATTGGTTGTTGAATGAAAATTTCGCAATGCAATTTTCTATTCGTAACTCTGTTTTTAAAGGTTTAAGGTAGTTAAGAAAGGATCTTTGAAAAGATGTTAAATTATTTAAGAAATTCGTATGATATTCTAGACCTTATTTAATGTTTTTCTATTCCATTAATTTTGTTTTTCAAATTTTAAAATAAATTGTTGATATATTTTGCTCTCAAAATCTGAAGTTCTGTTTTCCATAAATAAAATTTTTTTGAAGTACTAACTCATAAAGGAAACAATATTTTTAAATTTATAATTATTAAAATAAATCACGTTCATTAAAGGCATTTACCTCAAATTTCTAGTATTTCAATGTAACGGAACACGTATGTGTAATAATAATAAATAATAATAATAATAATAATAATAATAATAATAATAATAATAATAATAATAATAATAATTCAATATGCATATACGTACCGATTGTCACATACAACGATATAGGAATAATATAATTGTAGAGAATGACGAAAGAAAAGAGATCGTTTATGACGGTTAATGAAGAAACGGTGAACACATCTCCAAGGTACCATTTCATTTCTGTAACAAATAAATTTTTTAATATTAAGGAAACAAAATGTAGGAAAATTAGGTATATAAAATGAAAATCATTGCCAGTGTTCTAAAGTGATAAAATATTCGCGCATATTGTTAGTCCCGTACATGTATTTAATGTCACCAGAATCGTCAAGAATTTTGATAGCTGAAGCCAAATATAATCCAAGTCAATCTCAATTATTTCCAATTCAATCATAAATATACATTACGTAGGTACCCATATTAAATGTAAACTTGTGAACTAATGCTAAAATGCATAATGAAATGAATAAGAATGAAAATAGCAACAGGGCAAATGGAAAAAATCTTCTAATTATAAATTAATTAATCTTTTAATTACAATTTTTGAACAATTCAGAATTAAACATAATATGCAAAATTAATTATTAATTAATTATAGACCTAAAATCTCAATTAAAGCACTAATTCCTTATTTTTAGAGCAAAGTGTTCTCCTCTTGCAATTCTAATCGGCGCATTCATACTAAATGGATCGTCAGTACAATTAGAGAATGGGCACTTGATGTACTTGTTTTCATTAATTTTTGGTAAAAAATAGGGCACGGAATGGAAAGTCCTTCAATATTAAAAAAGAACTTTAATACACCCTGAGAAGAAACACGGTATTTCGCTGACTACTTACGGCTTGCGAAGCTTAGTTCAATGGCGTACTTGAGGCCTAGCGAGGCTCCCGTCTCCGTCATCAACAGCAGAAGGAAGAAGAGGAGGAACTTGTTTACAGTCCTGCACAAAGATATAATTGTTAACTTTTTGTGCATAACTTGATCGTGCATTGAATAGAGTTCATTCATAGGAATGGCCAAAAATCTCAAATCATAGTGCACATAAGTTTCATTCTTTCCTATGAGAACATAGATATTAATTATCGAGAAATTTTTGTCAATTAATATATTGAGATGAATGAATTTTGAAATTATTTGTCAATGATTCAATCAATATTTATTCCGAATTTGTATTGTCACTGACTTTGAAAGAAATAGGCTCGATTTATTTTCAATTCAGTTATCACTACCAACATTCTCATTTTCAGGGATTTGGCAACTTATAATTATACCAACATCACATGGAAGATCAAGACACTTATTCATACTAAGAATCACACTCATTAAATTATTATCAGTAATTATTATATTGAATGAAATATAAATAATTTATATTTAAGGAAAGTTTAAAAATTTAATCACTGAAGTTTTACTTTTATTGCAGAGTTAATATTGTTTGTGTGTGTGTGTAATAATGTACTATTTATCGGAAAAGCAAACTCGGAAGGCAAGGCGGAAAATTATTAATATGAGGAAATTTTTAATTTGTATTTTTGATAGGCAGTTTGTAGATATTTAGCCTACTTTCGAATTTCATCTTTCACCTACTGCACCCAGTTTTTTTGTTCATAAAGGTTCACTCTCTACGCAGTAAACAGAAAAGAGAATACAATCTTTAAACATTTGTGAGAATTTTCATTATGAATTACATCTAATAAGGCTTACTGGAGGTCTTCCACTAGCTCAGATAGGAATGAAGCGCCAGCAGTCCCTTTCGTTGGGCATATTGTGGTGCCCAGATTTTACGATGAATTTAAGTGGCCACGTGCTTAAGAGATATCGAGCGACAAGGTCGGTCAACAATTCTATTGGGTCATGCTGCAGATCGTCGCGACAATAGCACGGACAACTGCTATGACGTCATCCGCGACCCCTTCCACGACAGTTCAAGGCACGGTCCGCATCCCAGCTATTACCGGGATCGCAACAGTTGCTGGCATTCCGACCCTGAATCTAGGCAGATGTGATCTTCTTAAATATGCTACGTCTATCATTACAGATTCTTCCTCGTATTACTTTTCAGTTGAAATGTCGGTATGGTGCATAATTCATCAAATTAGAACATAGATCTCCAGCCTGTTGGAATTTTGGGTTGCAATTGAATGACAAGAATTTACGTATGTCTGCAATTAAAATAAGCAAAATAGTTCGTGAACTGCAAGAAATTGGAGGTTTCATAACCCTTGCCAAGTGTTAATTAAATACACGTACATAAAATGAAAATAATATTCCTGGACAAGCCAGAGTCGTACACGATTTTGCATGTCCCAGCTTTCATAAAGGTCTGTATCAATTGAATACCGGAAACTTACATTTACGTGGCCAAAACTCAGTTTCGAATTCAACGTAGTAAAATTGAGGTAACTCGAATTTATCAAAATTTTACATTTGGTTAATTTACTTTCATTTTACATTTATGAACGTCTTTTTTATCTCGGCAACAATGATACAATAACCTCAAAAACAACAAATTGATTGTTTTTCGACGGTTCGTTCAATCTTTGTTATGGCATATTTCCTGCCTGGAGAGTGGGACGCTGTTTTTCGTGTAACTACCTTTGACGCGTTGGAGTTCATTTCAGAACTGTTTCCAAATGCCTTGTTTGCCCCTCCCCCCGTGATCGATTGATTGATTACTTAGTGATTCCGGACACGTCAACTACCAGCGTCATTTGTCCCCTAAGTGTAATGCATGTTTTTTGCTTGAGAAGTGGCGGTGATCTTTCTTTCACTCTATGCCGAGATCCGGCGATGATCTACCGTCGGCTAGCGGAGTTTTCCCCAACCAGGTATCTCCCACCAGCCGGGACAAGCTGTAAGCTCCCGACCGGTCCCCCGGCATGTGTGGTAGTGTAGTGAGTGTTAGTGTAAGTGTGTGTGTAAGGGGGTGAGAATTGGACATGGAAGAGGAAGATGAGATCGCGCGCGGTCCGTGGCCCGTTTGTTAGGGTACTGCTCCGGCATTCGCCACGAGTGATACATTTTCTTTTAGAAAAAAAGCATCATTAATATTTTGTAAAATTGTAAATGGAAAGCGTATTAAAAAATTCTTCACAGAAACAAGATTCATAAGACCAATTCATAAGAGAAACCGAAGTCGCATGCTATGAACCGATGAGTTATGGTAGATCACTTATACTTTTCAGAAGCATATAATGATTAGTGATACATATTAACAGCGTAAGGAAGTGTCAACTACCGCGTTAATTAACACATTTAATTAACATGAGGCAGGCATGAGATTGAAACACTCGTTTTCAGTTGCCTTGAATCACATGGGTAAAAGGAGAAGAGGATTCAACAAGGGAGGTGACTCACTTTTCAATAGTGGAGAACTTGTTGCTCGTGAGGCGCCAATTCAAGGCCAACTTCGTCTGCTGGCCTGTGTACACGGCGCACCCTGAAACAAACAACACTCGTTACGCTCACTTATAGGGAAGATTATTAAGATGGTCAGTTGACGTTCTTGATAGATTTATGCACGAAAGCAATACATACGTATGTATGTATGCGTATGTATATGTGTATATGAGTATATATGAATATGTGTGTGTATAGTATGTATGTATGTGTGTGTGAGTATATACGTATTTGTGCGTGGTGCGTGCGTGTTTGGGTGTGTGCACAGAGAGTCTGAGTTTCACATGTGTAAGCGTGAAATGGAGGCTTTCTCGCTATGCTGGGATATACAGTGTTCTAGGTAATACATTCTATTTAATTTACATTTGTATAGTGAAATTAATTGGCTACCACCTGGCAAAGACGCCAATTGTGGCCAAAATAAATATATTATTATATTATATTATACGATGAGACCTTACACTCCCTGGTATCTTCAATAAATTGGCATCAACAATATTTTGACGCGACACTTGTTACGTGCCTTCAATTCCACTTGGTAACTTTAGAAACGTGCATGATAATAAGCTGAATGATTGTGGAGGAGCATTTTAAAAACATTTTGATTGTTTTTTTGTGTATTCCAGGTCAATTCTGTAACATCGAAGCGGGTCGGTCGCTGTCCTTACTTCCACATCCGATCTATGTTTTCATCATTACGATAGGGATAAGTGCTCATATTTCATCCTCTTCCTGTGATGGGAACAGCTTCCGACAGTTCTTTCTATTATGGGTAAGATATACTTTTCAAAATACTTTCAAGTGGCTTTCAAATTACAGATCACCGAAATAAATTATCAAACATTTATTTCCGATACTCTCGTGTACCCCTTCGCGTCTATTGTTCTCACACTTCTCTCAGAGCTGATTCCAATATTGCTTTCTCAAAATGACTGGATGGACAAGTTACCTAACCTAAAAGCTTACATAAAGCAGTATCGATTAATGGGCATTTCGTTAATGCAGTTAGATAACTTATTTTCAAGAGGTTAAGTCGTGGCATCGTAGAACGTGCCCGACTCAAAGAATAGAGATATTGTACAAAATATCCTTACCAATTTTTTCTCATCGTTTCTAATTATTTTCTTTCAAACGATCTTTTATTTTTTTAAATTAAGATAACGTCAGCAGCTACATCACTAGCAACCGCTATAGATTAATTATATGGTCAACAGTATGATGTGATATAGTGATGGTGAGGGGTGAATGGACGAACACAAGTACAACCATGCGCGAGACGGGACTCGAACTCGCGATCGTTGAGTCCGAGTTTGCTACGGCACTATTGCCTTGACGATCTTCGCCATCTGGACGATAGGTCTTTTCTTTCTTTTATTAGATTCTTTTCTTTTATCAGAAGAAATTACGAAAATATGGATGATAGCAGTAGACATGAAAAACTATAGAAAAACTACACAGCTCAAGAAAAACCAAAGGAAGCTAACTAGCCTATCAGCCGGATGTAAATATCTCTAGAAAATGAAAAAGCTCAGTTTTTTTATTTTACGAGTACGAAATAAGTAAATAAATGAATGAAAATAAGTTAGATTACACCAGATATTCTGATAGTTACATTGCTGATCAACAAACCCATCTTTAGATCGTTTTCCCCCCGGCTAGCTGCGCAGAGTCACCGTAGACTTCAGACCATATTCACAGGCTTTCTACTGACGAACGATTTCGTTAATTTTAGCAAAGGCTTCTGAGGATATAGCGTCAATATGCGCCTGCTAAAACGCTCGTCAGAATCGTTCGTCATAAAGAAGGCGTGTAAATTGGTCTTAGAGAATTATGGACGGGAGCTCACATATCAACATTTTACGCCAGACTGACCCTTGTTGCGTCGTATCCAGGAAGCCCACAGGCTCAACCCGATCTAGTTTCTTCCTTCGCTTATCTCGAAACTTAATCTTTATTCACTAAGTAAGCAATGAGGAATGATTTTGGGAGTTTAGACAGCGATATATGGTACTAAAAAAAGACGACCTTGCTTAAAATTCATGACGGATTCAACAATGCCTTACGCGGCATCTCGTGGACTGGACTTACATTGCATATACCGACCTGCCTTGCCTTGACCGGCATTGCATATAGCAGCGAAATTAGAAAATAAATGCTCACAGATATCTCAGAAAAAATGTCACAGACTTCTATGACATGTCGATGGAGGAAGTTGATCACTTTGTGTCATCTTCGTTATGTGAGTTTTCCCACCACGTGTTCACAAGCAACGCGTGACCATCTTCGACATCCTTAACGTACTCTAGAAGTTTGTCACATTCATTCTGAGACATCCTGTAGAAGACAAATGGAATTCATATTCGTTATGTGAGATTTACGAATATAAATGTAAAATCTGTCCTTTTTTCTTGTACTTTTTGTTCACAATTGAGGCATTCAGGTGCAGGAGATAATTTCTGATATTTTGTGAAAGTAACATTATTGACATACCGCGCCTTGCTTGTAAATAAGAAACATGGGCTCTCTTTGAATCATGTTAGTTTCAGAGTCCAGAAAATTGACAACGAAACTTTCATTACTTATGTGCAGCACATCACCGTAAGCTAGTACGATCAATGCACTTCCGTAAGTAACGCGAAATGTCAGTTACCATTGTACGCCAGTTCCAGAGCGCCTAGATTGTAATCTTCTAAATATTATTATTTAAGTGATTAGGCGACAGAGCAGGCCTTACAACCTTATCCTCGGCAAAAAAAAATATACATTATTGTTGTTATAATTTCCCACCACGTGTTCACTGGCAACAAGTGATCATCTTCAGCACCCCCAAGATGCTATAGAAGTTTGTGACATTCATTCCGAGGCTTACCGTAGACGTAGTCGGTGTTGCGCAGGCGCGTGCCGCGCAGCAGCAGGTTCTCGGAGCCGAGGGGCGCCGACAGCCCCACGGAGAAGCGGCGCACGGGCACGGCGGCGGCGGCGGGGGCGGCGCCGTTCTCCTCCAGCTTGCGGGCGCGGAGCGACTGCGCCGAGGGCGCCGTGTTGGCGGTGGCGGCGGCGGCGGCGGCGGCGACCACCTCGGTGGCCATGGCGTCGGCCACGCCCGAC